GGACTGAGAGAAGGGAGCCCATGGAGAGAGGTCTATAAGAAGCTGTTGGCTCTGAGCAGCTACCACCTCTGTGTGTCTACCTGAAAGCATCTGGTGGTAGATCTGGGCCCCTGTAGGTCTGGGTCACTGTTGGTCATCAGAGCCAATCATTGAAAGAAGATCTGGATGCTGATTGGAGAGAGTGAGGACAAGTTAGAACCTATTGGGCACATCTACATCTGTCCATCTCTATATCTGATCACAAAACAACCTTCAGAGAGTAAAAGGACTATTGCATTCTAATGCATGCAAGTTTTTCTTTTGGCCAACACTACCCTGGAACTATACCGGAAAGGAGATTCTGAGGAATATAGTTTCCAGATTAACTAATTGACAACAGAACAATCCAGCACACTCTCTGCATGCGTGCCTAAATTAACTCTGAAAAGCTCTTTAAGGATTCAGAGAAGATATCAAAAAGGGCCTCCAGGATGTAGCTTGGGAAAAATGGCAAGCAGAGCCTTGAGCCATTGGGTCTATAGGACAACCATCACTGGTTTGCCTTATGCCTTAAAGGAGCATGAGTGTTACTGGCTATGGAATCAGAATGCTGCATTTGTGGAGATGGAGCCACTATTCACTAAATAATGACCTTGCATGATTCATTTAAGTGATCTGGGCTTCAAGTTTCTCATCTATAAAATGAAAGCGATCACTCCTAAGCAACCTTCTCTATGCACTGTTCTGAGGAACTGATGGGTAGCCGTCAGTGTATTTGTTAAAGTCTGATGAGATAACTTTATGGACATGTGGAAAGCAGCTGTAGCTGTGCTCACAATGAAATTTGGCCAACTTTTCTGCTGCTCTGCCTTACTTTTTTGCCTAGCTATTTCATGCTGTTTTTACTGAGGTAGACGATTCACAAGAAACAGACTCTGACTTCTCCTCTTTAGATCTCTCTTTCCAGCTTCCTATCTGCAATAGATCCTTTTCCTACATGAGGTGGTAGTAGTAAGAGAGGGGTGATTGAGACTCTGAATACCCACAGTCCATCGATTCTCTCTGAACATTTTTTTTTTCTTCTAAAATGTTTTCTAATTCCCCTCAGCTGGATGCAATTTTTTCTCCTTCTTTAAACCCCACAGCCTTTCTATCCTTCACTGCAATAACTATACCCTGACAACGCCTTAACATGTACACATTTGAGCACTTATCTTGTTCTACCTAATTTTACATTCTCAGAGGCGGGGGACTTGCATATTAAGCTCATACAACACATAAGTAATTTTTGGCATTCTCCACATTATAGTCCAGCGAGAACTCAGTATGTAAATAAGTGTTGAATTAAGTTGAAAGAAAACAAATTGAGGACATGCATCAGTGGGTTAGTATTCTAAATAACAATAGCCTGAATGACTATGGTTTCCCATAATAAGAATTAGGAAAATGAAGAGTCTGTGATCCCTAGCCAGATAGTTCTCTATTATTATGAATTTTGTGTCTTCATGTGATAAGGTATTTCCCTCCATAATGTTAATATGATGATCCTAGAAACGGGGCAGTCCAAAGAGGAGCCAGGGCTCAATCTTCCACCTGTACTCCAAGGTAAACGATTTTTATAGAATTTTACAATTCATAGCAGGAACTGCAAGTATTAACCAGGGCCAGTGACCTTCTCTATTTAGTTTATGGCTGGAGCTGTCACTGGGCCACATCCTCTCTGAGAGATAGTCCATGCACCCAAGATAAGGTTTCAAGAGGCCCTTGAGCTAGACAAGTGGCTTGTCAAAGTGCCTATGTCTTTTGTCATGGATGCTCCTGGTTGGTGGGTTTCTTTCTCCAGGGTCAGAACAGTTCCAAAAGCAAAATTGATATCAGGAAATGCTTCTGGTTATCTCTCTACTCTTCAGCAAGTCACTTCCCCTCTCTCAACCTCAGTTTCCTCTGGAAGGAAGAGGATTGAAATAGCTTTTAAAGGTCCCTCCCTCCTAACTTTGATATTCCAGGACTCTATTCTGAGTTGCAGGTTGAATTTCCAGCACCCCAGGGCCTTCTCTTTCCTGCTTCTAAAGGTATGATGAACCCGGTCACACAGCAGGAGGTGAGAGACAGGGAGCAAGTGAAGCTTCACCTGTATTTGTAGCCACTCCCCAGCGCTAGCATCACTACCTCAGCTCCACCTCAGATCATCAGGCATTAGATTCCCATAGAAGCACCAGTCCCTGGTGCCAAAAAGATTGGGGACCGCTGGTATATGATTTAGATTATCCCATGCGTCTCATCTGAGGCATGCTTACCTGGTCTCTAAAATATTATGGCTCTCCAGGTGATGATTATTTATCTTCCATCATGAAAAGTTCTCTAGGCCTGAAAGATATGAGAGAGTTTACTTGTCACAGAATTTCATTAGGTCTCTTTCTAATTCAAATGGTCTCTGATTGGCTTCATTTAAAAGTGTCCATGCTACAGATGTTATAGAACCCAAAAGACCTTGGGTATACCAAATTACAGGGAGGAGGCTGCTGTGTCTAGAAGTGGTAATGCTCAAGGCAGGACTATTCATTAGTAATTGATTTTGTATTACATGGTAATAGACCATAAACAAGTTCAAGATTATCAGATTTTTTCAGCAGGGAGCAATCTGTGTGCTGAAACTCCTACTCACACAATCTTCCAGTATATATGTATGGATCTGTTAGTAGGGATATGATGACTTGTTAGAATACGAGTATATCAGAACTGCAAGAAAACATAGAACTCAGTTAGTTCAATCCCTTGTTTTGTCAGATGGATAACTGAGAGCTAGAGAGGAGGCAACTATATAACAGTTTATGTTGGAGTCAAATAGGGCTTCGGACCATCCATATACCTTCCATTATTCCAAAGCAGAGGTCACCAAGATAGTATACTCCAGTTCCTGAAGTTACTCATAGAGGAACCCCTTTCCCAGGCCCTCACTCTAAATCCATCTAGTCTTATTTTTATTAAATTCTGAGAAGAGCAGCTTAACTGGTGTCTATTTTACATCTTATTTCATCCAATTAACTTATAAAAGTTCAGGAAATAAAACACTACATAAAGAAGACACAAGAATTGCAATAGCATTATTGTCTGGGGAAGTTCAATGCAGGGCAAGTGTCTTTACACAATTCACTAACCCCAAGATGGTTGATGTTCATAATAGTGTCCCTGAATACCCCAGAAAAGATCAGTATGTTTCACCTAAAAAAGCAGAAATTTGTATAAGGCACTTTAAAAAACATTACACAAAAAAATGTTTTTTTAAAAATTTTGTTGTTATAGTTAAGTAAAACTTCAGCTATCTGCAAAACTCAGATAACCAAAATAATGAACCAGCTGTGATGTTCAAGGAAGTGACATTTCAGCTGTGAGCAGATAGGCACATTCTACAGTAATAAGGCTGGTGCGAGTTTGGCTAGTATCTGCAAAGAGGAATAAATAGCAAAGCCATGATCTCATCTTCTGTTTACACTTCAGTTCCCAAAGTTAGTGATTAACTGTCCTTGTGTTTTGTTGCCAGGGCAAATTGTTTTTCTTTAAAACTCCCACTTATTTTAAATAAATACATCATTAGTTTCAAAACAGAAGTGTCAAATGTCAAGATACTCTGACATATTAAACTAATGAACAAAACAATGAATTCATTAGAACCTACTAGAGATAGGCAGCCTTTGAGAACTTTCCTTTAATGGCTTTGAAAGGCATCAGAAATCATTCTTGATAAGAGATTTTCTCATGCATCTTGGCTAAAAGATCAGTCGGTTGCAAACACAGAGACAAGGTTAAAAGAATTGGGTTAGGTGTAAATGATAGAGTGGTGGGTAGGCCAAGCATTCATGGTTAAAAAAGTATACCAACCAGCTGCCATACTATGCTTACCAAACCAACACACAAAATCAGCTTTAGGCAACCAGTTTAAGATCTTTGCTGGGATCTCTGAGTTTACATAGGGACTCTGGCTCTTCCAATGTAATGAATTCTTTTAGAAAATAGGCAGTTTTTGCATCTGAGTCTTAACACGAACACACACAAATACACTATTTGGGGATGATTCCAGTTGTTTCAGTATTATTAAGACTACCTGTTAAATGTAGTTCTGATTACATAACTTTTCTGTTCAAAAGTTTTCAATGCCCTCCCTTTATTCACAGAATGAAGAGTCACTTATTATTACGGCATTCAAGATTAACCATAATCTCATGTCAACCTATCCTTCCAAGTAGATCTCCTCCTACAATACCCGCTCTTTACCCACCCCCAGCTTCTCCTTCTCAAAATGGGTCTTGCACTTTGAGTTCTCGGTAATGAATATTTATTAGATAACTGCTCTGTGCCAGGTACTGTTCCATACATTGGAGACACATTTGTAAAGAAAACACAGTTGTTTTCCTTTGCCGCTTATATTCTAATGGGGATCTTTCACCTCCTGAATGCATTCCCAGTGCTTATGTTCCATTAAAGCACCTGTCACACTGTATAATAGCTCTGTCTGTGTTTTCATCAGTCTGAACACTGCCATGCACAGCTCTATGTTTTATTCTTCTCTTTTCACCCTCTAGCCCTCGCTTTGCTCAGTGGCAGGCATACACTGAATGATCCATGAATGACTTATGCTGTATATATGGTTTATTTTCTTTAGAAATGTGGTAAGTTTCTGTTGCATACAGAATCTACCTATGAGGTTGTCTAACTCTTGTTTTGAATTTTAATATCGAGTTACTTTCAACAAATAAGCCATTTGGTTGTCAACGGAAATGAGAAATGTCAAGCTACTTCTGACAGACCTGAACAAAATGAATGAAACAGTGATTGGATGGCCACATTGACTCAACCTGTAATGGGTCTTTCTTTAAATCCTAGAATCTCTAATCCCAACCCTTTGGGTTTCCCAGGCTGCCTGGTCTACTCATGGGCAGCCCCGCCCTCTTTTCTACTCAAGACCAGCAGAGAAGCTAATTTAGGCAGCTGCTCATCTTGTTCCCTTTCTCTTTGACCCAAAGGTAGAAACTGAAGACCAGTTGCTGGCAATCTTCTGCGGCAGGGAGACCACAGACACCGAGCATACCCCTGGCCAGGAAGTGGTCCTCTCCCCTGGCTCTTTCATGTCCATCACTTTCCAGTCAGATTTCTCCAATGAGGAGCGATTCACAGGCTTTGAAGCCCACTACATGGCTGTGGGTAAGTTGGAGAAGTATGTGGCTCATCCCAGGTCTCCCTTTCCCTATAAAGATTAAAAGTGCCTTGTGCTCTCTTCTTTACAGTAAACATCTGTATACTCACCATGCAGATTCTACCACAAATATCTTATTGCATTTGCTCTATCACATATCTATCCTTCAGATGACTAGTGATGTGGAGCATCTTTTCATGTGCCTGTTTGGCCATTCATATATCCTTTTGAGGAAAATTAATGTTCGAATGTTTTAAATGGGTTGAGAACAGACATATTTTTATCTTTATATTTCCAATGCTTAGGGCAGGGCTTGACCCCTATAAATGACATAGGAAGAGAGAGGCAATCTGAAGTAGAAGTTAAGAGCCCAGGCTCTGGAGTCAGCCAACCTGGATTTGAATGCTGACTCCACCACTTACTATCTTCGTGACGTAGAGTCAGTTCTTTAATGCCTCTAAGTCTCAGTTTTATCAGCTATGGAATGGGAATAGTAACAGTCCTGCTCGCTATTATCACGAGTGTTAGAGGAAAGTAGCACCAGGAGTCGGATTTGAACCTTGAGTTTGAACCTGACTCTCTGTGGTTCTGGATAAGTTGCTCACCTCTTCGAGCCCCAGTTTCCTCATGTAAATAGAGATAATAGCTACTTCCGGGCTTTACTTTAGGATTAAATGAGGGAATGCAGTATCTCCCAACACAGTGAGCAGCCCAGACTAAGTGCTCTGTAGATGTTGGCTGTTGTCTTCATCGTCACACATGGATCGGTTGACTGAGAGGCTCTGCCTTCCCCACAGATGTGGATGAATGTACGGAGCGGGAGGACGAAGAGCTGTCCTGTGACCACTACTGCCACAACTACATCGGCGGCTACTACTGCTCCTGCCGCTTCGGCTACATCCTCCACACAGACAACAGGACCTGCCGAGGTAGGTCCAGGGGTGATTCTATTCATTGCTGTTATGTGCCACACTTTCCAGTCAGAGTATCTGTCAGCAGAAGGACAGATATTCAGAAGGAACAATTAAAAATGAAGTCAGAGAGCTGTGCCTCAAATACCACCAGAATGAAGATGCTGAAATGTCCACCAGCCCTAGCCGCTAGGCCATCTTTCTTCCCGAGCAGCAGGAGTCTCTGGTCTTTAGTCCCTGTCTCCACTTCTACTGCAGGTGATCAGCCTGGCCAAGTTAAGGGAGAAAGTAGGTTTCTCAGTCCTGTCTCTCTGAGCCATAAACCAGGCCTTGACGAGCAGTTCCTTTTTCTCTTTTTTCATGCCCCTTAGGTTCCTCTGTGATAAAGAGATCCTCACTGCAAAACAAAGAAGAGGGAGGAGAGAGACAAAGACAGAGACAGCAAGAAAACATCTCACTCTTGCTATCTCTGTTGTCATTGTCATCAACACTCCTATTCTATCATAGTCTCTGGGAGGGGCAGGGGTAGAGAAACGGCAGGGCTCAGCCACTTTCCATGAGGACCATTCTGGCTGGTGGGCAACAGCCACACCAACCAATGGTGAAATGTTGTAAATGCTGTACAAGAAGTGTGACCATGGTGTCTGCCTAGGAAGTGAGCCAACACTTCCCAGAGATGGTGACACTGATGAAGATGAAAGAATAAGGTAAAGAAGGGCATTCCAGGCAGAGAGAAAAGTTTCACAAACCATCCAAGACAGGATACAACTTGGAAGGTTCGGGTAATTTCCAGTAGATTAGTATGACTGAAGGATAAGGAGCTATGTTTTAGAAAGCTCCCTTGGAAGCTGAGTGAGGGGGTCACTGGAGGAGGGCAAGACTGGAAACAAGAATTCTTTTCCTTTCTCCTTCAAAAACCTCTTCTTGCTGCTGAATAAAATCTCTATGTGACCCATCAGTACAAGGCAGGCACATACAGGAGTTTTCTTGAAGAGGGTTATATTTTCTATGTAAGTATTTATTAAGTATCTGTTATATGTTGAATATGATGGACGTTAAGAATCTGTTATATGTTGAATGTGGTGGACGTTAAGAATGAACAAGATTTCTTGATCTCTTTTTCATTTTCACCTCTGCCTTCAGGAGCCTTTTAAAACATTATCTTCCTAATTGCCCCCACCCATGACATTTTAATACCACAGATACACTGTATATATGTTTATGTACAGTGCATTATGCATTAAAAAGCATAAGATTTCCATCCCCATCAAGAACCAGTTTTAGCCCCCTTTGGTGCAATATCATCCCTGATATAGTGCTTGGGGTTAAAAAATGAAAATAGATGGAGATTCAAGTGACTTCAATCTAAACCTTATTCTGCAGCTTAGAGCAGTGGGACTTCAGGTTAGTCACGCTCCCCCGGCCACCCACCCCTCCCACCTCCCCCACCCCCGTTCTGGGCCACAGTTTTCTCATTTGCAAGTGAACAGGATGAACAAGGGCTTAGAAAGAATTGCCACCCCAGATCTAGCAGGACTAAACCATGGCCAGGATCCTAACTAAGCCCCTGGCTACTTGGTGAAGCAAATGCAATGGGCACAAGGCAGAATCCTTGAGCTCGGAGGACTTGCAGTCAAATGGGGGCAAGAGAATTCACAAGTATTACATGATGGTAAGTTATGGCCAACAGCATAAAGGAAAACAAAGCAAGGCCGGGGCCAGAGAGCGGGGGTGTGCGTGAGGGTACTGTGTTAGATGAGGGATCAAGGCAGGCTTTGAGCAGACACCTAATGGAGTTCTAAGATGAGGGAAAAGCAGGACAAAAGAGGTTCAGACTCCCTCCCCACAACACTCTGTCTTAAAGCCTTCCCATCTCAGTCCCCCTCCGGCCCCCACCAATGCCAGCGAATCTGATGAGCAGGCTTATCACACTTAACTGCCTTTGAGTCTTGACTCTGCAAATTACTACATGTGTGACCTTGAATAAATCACTTCCCTTCATTGAACTTCAGTTTCCTCATTTGTGAAATGGGGATAATGATTCCTTTCCTGCTTGCCTCTTGGAACTACTGAGAAATCATACAATAACAAATAAGAGAGGAGTTTCTGTGGCCATGGTGTGGTGTGTAACTTTGTTTTGGTATGTTTCCCACAGTGGAATGCCAAGACAATCTCTTTACTCAGAGGACCGGTGTGATCACCAGCCCAGATTTCCCCAACCCTTACCCTAAGAGCTCTGAATGCTTCTATGCAATCGAACTAGAGGAGGGTTTTGTGATCAGCCTGCAGTTTGAGGATATTTTCGACATCGAGGACCATCCAGAGGTGCCCTGCCCCTATGACTACATCAAGGTAAGCCTGCAATGGACCTTTGCCCTAGGGATGCTGAAAAATCTTGCTGAATTGAGAAAATTAATATTCTTGCTTTCTACCTTCTCCCAGGATAGGGGGCCAAGCAGTTTGCTTTCCCAACAAGTAATTATTTAAAATAACATCCACCAGTTTAATCAGATCCAGTCTAGAGATCTTCCCTGACCCAAAACAAGCCTCTTGGCCACCTGCAGAATCTCTTTTGCCATGTAACATAACATTATCATGAAGTAACACCAGAGGTGAAGGTCATAGGAACCATCTTAGAATCCGACCCAAAACAAGCCTCTTGGCCACCTGCAGAATCTTTTGCCATGTAACATAACATTACCATGAAGTAACACCAGAGGTGAACGTCATAGGAACCATCTTAGAATCTTGCCTACCACACAAGGTTTCCCAGGAGCTCTACTGTGAGCCTTGTCCAGATACTTAACCTCTTGGGACTTTGCTTTTTCCCTCTCTCCACAGTAAAGGTGATAAGATGAAGATATTACCCAAGATTGTAGAAGTCACCAAATGAGGATTAAGGAGTCCTGGAAGGAAAAGAGTTGAAAGGAAAAAAGTTAAAGGTGTAGGAAGGACCCAGGACTGAGAGGTGGAAAATCTGGATCAGCTAATAGTGCCCATTCTCTTCTCTCCAGCCCACTTCCTCTATCTTGTCCAACCTCATCATCTTCTGGTCAACTGGAAAACCTAATTGGTTTTCTTGCTTCTTCCCCTGCCCTACAAGGTCTGTTCTCCTACAGCATCCAGGCTGATCTTTATAAAAGTCAGATTAGATCAAGGTTACACATAAATTCCTCAACACAATGTGGCCCTTGCCCGCCTTTCCAATCTCGTGCCATGGCACTCCCTCTGTTCCAGCCACACTGTCTTCATTCCTGTTCTTAATACTTTCCAGGTTCTTTCCCACTTTTGGCCTTGACTTTTACATGTGCTGTTTTCTCTGCCTGGAAAGTATTCTCTCCTCCTCCAACGATGAGCTCCTACTAGTCCTACATGTCTCAAATCCAATGTCACCTCCTCAAAGAGGCCTTTCCTGACCACCTATTTAAAGTTATCATATTAATGATGAATTATATAGGTTACACAGATTTTACTATATAAATCATAAATATTTAAAGTATATATTGATATTATATGTGTATCATCTTGGTTATTTTTAATAACCCTTACCACAGCTTGTAATTATTTTGTTTATTATTATCGTCAGACTCCCCTGACTAAACTGCAGGTTCTTTCAGACCAGAGGCCTTTTCTATCCTGTGCACCTGGATAGGGCTCTGCCCCTTTCTGAGTTATATGTTCATCTTTAAGCAGAGAATTGTTAGCCTGCCTTGCCCACTTCTAGGCCATTGTAAATTGTAAATAGGAGAGTGGAGATGGAATCATTTGGTGAATGGTAAAGCCCACTAGAAATGTCAGTGAATACCATGGGTTCTCACGGAGTGTTCCAGAAAACCCCAGATGCAGTGTTGAGGTGGTCCCTGCAGCAGCCACCAGTGCTCTGATGTGAGTGACCCTCTTTTTCTCCATCTTGCCCCTCACAGATTAAAGCTGGTTCAAAACTTTTGGGACCCTTCTGTGGAGAGAAAGCCCCAGAACCCATCAATACCCAGACCCATAGCATCCAGATCCTGTTCCGCAGTGACAACTCAGGCGAGAATCGGGGCTGGAGGCTCTCATACAAGGCGACAGGTACCGACCTCTCCCCTCCTCAGTCACACTGGGTCGTTGTGTTCAGCCCTCATGGGGCAGTGGCTGAAGGATGAGGGGGTGCAGGCCTGGGACTCCTTTGGGGTTGTGATGAGACTCCCAGTCCTGCCACTGAGTAGTTGGAGACCAAGGCACATTCTCTTTTCTAACTCAGCTTCCTATCTGTAAAATGGGATGAAAGGCAGCAATGATGGCGAATTTGGACTAGATGTCATTTTTAAAACTTCCTATACTTCAGAATCAGATTGGGAGATTAAAAAAAAAAAAATGTTTCCTAAACAACACTCCTTCTCACTGTGATTCATTGGGTCTGGAGAGGACCTTTCTAGCTCCAGCTCTGTCCAAGTCTGAGGCAGGAATTTGGGTGTGGCCCTGTAATTCAAAATGTTTCATTATGGCAGTTCGCCTCCTTGTCTTCCCCCCACCTCAGACTAGCAAAGCCCATAGTCTTTCTTCCCCAGTACCCCAAGGCAGCCAGTCTCAGCCCAAATCCTGATAGAGTCATTTGATCCAAGGGGTCTGCAGTGACTTGAGGAAGAAGAGGGTAGATGTCAGTGACAAGACCATAGCTGGGCATGACTAAGCCAGTAGAGACTTCAATATCCGGGCCTGCCCTGTGTTATCCAATTCAATGGTGAGAAGTAAAGAGAATATTAACAAAAGAGAGTTTGTCCAGGAAAAAATGTCAGGGATAGGTCCGGGCCTGGGAATCCTATCTGATTTAGCCTTTTAAAGAGAGGCACAGAAGCATATGATCAATCTAACACTTTGAGGAATAGTCTTGGGAAGAAAGAGAGATTGAAGTCACCCCGAGTTCCCTAAGAGGGCAAACTACACCCAGTGAGTAAAAATTACAATGGTATAAATTTCAGTTGACTCTGAAAACAGTGTTCCTTTAATCAGATGAGTCTGGCGTGAAAGATAGGTTCGGGAGGTACTGAGCTCCCTGTCACTATAGGAATGCAAATAGATGTTTGATGTCTACTAGGGAAGATGTTAAAAAAAAAAAAAAAAAGCACCAGACAAGGGTTGTATCCAATGACATTTAATATGCTTTCCAACCCTGAGTTTTAATGAAATTATTTGGCCAACTAATTCATTTTACAAATGAGGAAATAGAGGTCCCAGTTGGAAAATGTTCTGTTCAAGGATCCAGAATAAGTCTTCTTCAGGACCCAGTAGGTCCAGGCCGCTCATACTCAGTGCTGTGGTTCTTCCACCTTTATTAGGCCTTGCATTCTAGAGACTGGCCGCTCATGGTGAGGCTTTTCCTCGTTTTCTCACCTGCTGTTCTTTCACTGCTCCCCACCAGGGAACAAGTGTCCAGGGCTACAGCCTCCTGTCCATGGGAAAATTGAGCCCTTGCAAGACAAGTATTTCTTCAAAGACCAGGTGCTCGTGAGCTGTGACAAAGGCTACAAAGTGCTGAAGGTACAGGGTCCTGCTTGGGAGCCAGAGCCACTAGGCCAGAGAAATTCTCCAGAAACTCCCAGGGCGGATGGGTTTACAGAATTTGTCATGGTCTCACCACACTATTTCCCAACTTCCCCATAAACCTTCAAAGTGCACCAGAAATTCCAGTCTTCTGAAAATTCAAAGCATTTGTTTCACTTCTGGAAGTGATACTAAAGTCTTTTATCAGAGTGTGGGCTGGTTTGAATTTCAAAAAATCTAGATTTATGCAGCCCTACAATTAGGATAAACAACCTTAACAAAGTTCATCAGGCCGGGATGGAAAGCAACCGGCACTGCTCATTCTCCCTCCCTCTGAAATAGTGATTTTCCTAGAAATCACCTGCTTCACTTAAAAAACAAAAGCACCTTCCAGGCCCCACCTGAGATCAATTAAATACGAATCTCTGGGATGGGGCTCAGTGATTGGTTTTTCTGTTATGTTGCCTAGGTGAGTCTGACGTGAACCAAACTAGAGGACCTCTGTTCTCAAGGAATGGTTCTCCAAGGTCGGTCTCCACCAGGGCATCACCTCACTTGATAGAAATGCAAAAGCTTGGTCCCCAGGTCAGATCCACTGAATTAAAAACTCTGGGGATGGGGCCCAGCAGTCTATGCAAAAGCCCTCGGGGAAGCTGACACTCAGGTTTGAGAGCCCCTGCTCTGAAAAGGGAGTCAAGGCTATAGCTTTCCCTTTAGAGACAGCTGCCAAAAACCCTTCTTGTACCCAGCCCTTCCCTCTCGCCAGGCTGTGACCAGGGAATGTGAATTCAGCATCTATCTTTCCCTTATCTTCAAGCGTGCCTGCCCTTGGAGGCCCATAGTTGGAACATCTCAATGGAGGACACCCAGGTTTGGAGTCTGAGCTGGTTTTACTGGAAAACAACCACCAACCCCACCCTTCTTCCTTCTTCCCATACTCTTTATGTTTCTTCCTAGGATGACGTGGAGATGGACACATTCCAGATCGAGTGTCTGAAGGATGGGATGTGGAGTAACAAGATTCCCACCTGTAAAAGTAAGAAAACAAAATCGGTTGATTATAAAGATAATGAGCTACCCAGCACTGATGGAATCCAAGCAGAGACCACACAAGAGTGACAGCTTGGCAAGTTCACTTTAAGAGGAATGGGGGCGGGCATTCAACAGACACATGAGGGTTGGACAGGAAGGCTGTTAATGTTTCTTTCAGCAATAAGACATTAGGATTCCAAAAGAAACTCCTTGTGGGTCCCAGTTTACTTTCTAAATACTAATTTTACTTCTGCCTGCAGAAAGGTTGCCAAACTTGCTAAAGGAATAGCATGTTTCCAAGTTTGAAACTAGCTCTGGCAATTGCTAATCCATGAAACTATTTTGGCCCCAGTGCCCAGTTACCTTGCCAGTCTCTGCGTGGCCTTCAGCCATATTCACAAAGTTTTCTGGGACAGCTCATGCGTTAGGGCTGTGGGGGTCAACACAGTGGACATGTGTAAACAGAGAAAACAGCTCTGTATGGCCCTTGGGACCCAGAGTTCTTGCCTTGGCTTTGTTCCTAACTCCCCCTCTCCTCCCGTGACCATGGGCAAGATCCTCTCCTTAACTATAAAATAAAAGAATTTGGACTATTCTAGAATATATCCTGGTGGTTCGACAGAATGTAGTCCATATAAATCACCCAATGAGCTTCGTAAAAATAGATTGCCAGCCACCTCCTCCTCTCCCCCTACCTAGGCTATTTTAGTGCAAGAGTTGTAAGGACCAAAATTTTAGGAAAGTCATATGTGGCAACAGTGACGAGAGGAGGAATGGTGACAGAAAGGGTAGGAAAAAGAGGGAGGGAAGGAAGGAGGATTTACTTTAGCATGGAGAGGTGAGATGTCGAGAATGTGAATTGGTCTCGCCCACCCCTAGTTCACAACTTTATGTAAACTTCGAAGTGGTGTGCTCTTCCCTTCTCCTAAACGGCAGGCCCACTCCCATGGCTCCAAGGGGACATTGTCAGGGTGGGGCTCTCTTGAGGCAAATCCCAGGCAGAACTTTGGAGCAGACTGTACTTGTTTTTAATTTTCCTTTTGTTATGTGATGATGTGGCTCGAGTCAGAGCCCCGTGTGGGAAAAGGGGGGACATTTTACGGCTTCAACAAAAAGTTTCAGCGAACTTTTACTGGTTGCCTGTGCAGAGGTCTGTGTAGAAAATTCAGATGGGAAAGACGAGGTCCAGACATGGAGGAACTCAAAGCTAGCAGACACATCTACCACCTCCTCCAACACGTGGCTCATGTGTAGTGCTGTTCCCAAGTTCTGCCCAAAGCAAGGGATTATTCAGAAGGAGGAGGTAAAGGAGGAAGTGGGGTGTAGAGGACAGGAGGTGGCTTTGGAGTCAGGAAGTTCTATATTCAAAGCCAGACTCAACCAGTTGAGGGTCCCTAAGCAATTTACTCAAACTCTTTTGGCCTCATTTTCCTGTATTGATTGTTCTGAGGACAAACTGCATTCATGTACATGTCATACCAATAGAGCACCAGGATTAAATGAAAACTTATTTTTTCCCCTCACCCAAACCCCTCACTGGGAAGAGGTTTGGCTTCTCTCATTTACACTTTTGAAAAGTAAGAACATTAATAAATTTTTTCCCTGATGAAATACACACATTTTTTATTATAATAGTGGCGTTGACAGAGTGAGGCACTACTATATTTAATGATACCCTTTTATGTGACTTGTATTAGTATACAAAAGGATGCTTGTCATTTTGTGTCAAAAAAAAGAGGAATCTTTTTTTCACCCTAATACGACCTGGTTCTCTCAGCACAGCCCGGATTAGGGCAATAGAAATCCCTGTTCAGACACACCTGGCATCTATTCTCATTCACTAAGTAGGTATTTACTGAGCATCTCTGTCCCAGACATGTGTGGAGTCCTAGGGAAGATGCAAAGATGGACAAGACTAAGAAGCTGAGAGTCCCCAGGGATTGGGGAGAAAGGAGTTGGGAACAAACAGGAAATGTGTATGTGCTATGAGCAAACTTGAACTGGAACAGGATGTGGAAATTACAGGTGGTTGTCCTGGCCCTGCCTCCACCTCACTGTAGTGACTCAGGACAAATACTGCTCCACTCTGAATGCCATCTGTCAAACAAGGGTTTGGATCAGATGAATGCAAAGCTCTCTCTAGGGGAAGAATGTTATAATTCTCATGAGCTAGGATTTATGACTATGCAAATTCTCAGAATGGTACAAATTCTGTAATCCCAAACTGTCTTTCACACTGGCTGTACCTAAACTGTGCATTCTTAATCAATTTTGGTGGAGTGATTTCTGTATTTCCTGCATAAACCGTTTCTGCTTTGCTTGCTAATTTTTCTCTTCTCTTCTGTCTCCCTTCTTCTCTCTGCTTTCTTTCTCTGTACCCTCTGACCCCTCTTTGATCTTCACCATGGTGGCAGAAACTGAAATGGATGTGGAGAGCAAACTCCAGTCAGAGCAAGTGACAGAGTGAATGACGGGACCCCACACAGTGCAGACATCCAGGAATGGATCACTCACAAGACCCGGGGTCCTAGAGCTACCCCACCCCTCCCCCACCCTGCCAACACTCCATTTCCCATTTCTGTGCGGATTAGAGTGGACGCTGAACAAGGCAACACAGTCTTAAGCAGTTAAAACTCCTGTGTGTATGAAAACAATTCTCCTTTTGAGAGTTCGCCCATTATTCAAACATTACTATGGAAAATAATGAAAAGACAATGTTTTTTGTTTTTTTTTGTTGGTTTTTTTTTTTTTTTTTTTTTTTTTTTTTTTTTAGTAAAACCAACACAGAACAGATGAAGCAAATAACCATTGGTAGTCTTGACATCAACATGAGCTTCAATTGTGGTGCACACTTTGTCACAGATAGATCCATGCCATGGAAATTAGCTAAGTGGACTGTACTCTTCTCGGAAAAAAAAAAATAACTTTGGTCCTAGAGACACAAGATTTAATATACATTCATATGGCCTTAAATTGACCAGGTCAAAGTGAGCCCTGGTTTCTAATGCAATCCACACTCCAAGTTCGAATGGGCCAGAATGCCTGTGACTTTATGACTTTAATATTTTTATTTGTTGCTACTTTCTTAATAACTGTGAGTGGGTAAAACTAAGAATAACTTATATAGCATGGATTTTTAAAGATCTTATCTTTATGCTCAAAAGTTTCCTTTCCACCTATAACTAACACTGGGCTGAGATGCCATCATTGGATGTTCCTTCCTCTAGGGCTTACAAGTTTTGCATTTCTGAAAATTCATTGATTAAAGGTTTTCAAAAGATAGGTATCACACTTGAAAGCAGCAATCCTCAGCTCTAGTGCCGTGGGACATCACTGGATCATAAATAGTGATAAAGAAAGCCCATATGCTGGAAATCTCTGCTCAGCCTGAACAAAATCTGGGCACATGTATCAGAGAAGCCCTGCATTGCATTATGGCTCTTCAGTCTATTTGTGACAAAATGACCTCTTGGGGAGGGCTGAATCCTGCAAGGGTGAACAGGGAGCAATCTGAGGACTATGGTGCCATCCTACAGCAGAGGTACCCCGAGAAAGGACATGGGATGGTCACTAAATGCAAAGATCAGTTGAATCAATATTTTTAAGCCCAGAAAATATAATGGATAGTGTACTGGGTGTGACAGAGGGGATCGTAATTCAGGCAGAATTATTACTCGAATAATTGCAATACCAAGCAACACAGGATGCATAGATCTGAGCAAGATCAATAAATAAAGGGCATCACAAGGAGAAATTGGAAACAGTTCTATCTGGTTGGAAGAATGAGAAAAAGCTTTTAAGAAGAAGAATTATTTGACCAAGTCCTCGAGGGTGGCCAGAGCATGGACACAGCGTTTCCCATGTGGGGAAAGCAGTAGGTGACAGGGAGGCGCAGGCAAGGGTCTGTGGTGCTGGGGCATATAAGTGCACTGAGAAGAAGGAAGAGGAGGAGGCTGGGTGGGAAGGTGGGCCAGTCCCTGGGGCTTGAACGCCAGGCCGAGCCAACTATGGGTTCTCTAGGAAGCCCATGGATTATGGCTAAGCATGCTTAAGACAGCGGGTCAAAAATGATGTGTCTGAAGGAAAATAAATGACAGCAAGAGGTGACCATGGAGACAGGACATGGTACATCCCATCCCAGAGAATAATGAGGAGGCCAAGGGAAATGAGAAAGAGATGGGCTCTTTAATTCCATAGTGTGGAAGTGACCAGAGGAAGCTTTAGAAAAAAGGATAAAACTCTTCCTGAAGCAAAGAAGGTAGACTAGCTAAGGCAGCAGGGTCTGGATATAACATCTTTGTATCAGGCTCAAGACCCCTCAAAAAGGGAAGTTGTCTCCAGGCCACAGAGACATGGCTCTTTGCCTGCCACTGTAGACTTGGGGAGAAGGTACACCCCTTCCCTGCTTGCTCTACCCAAGCTGAAGTGACCTCTATTTTCCACTATCACCTCCTTTATGTGGTTGTAGGACCAGCTTTATCAGTGGGCAAAGATACTTCTCTGGAGTGATATGAAAGCAGGCCTTCAACTCAGAAAATCTCTCCCTGCCACTATTGGCCACGTAACAGGCTCTCAGTGCCTGACAATCTAACCATGTCTTAGACCAACTCTGAAATTCCTCCACCTGGAACTGGATATCAGTTCTTGAAGCTACTTTAAACAAAATGAACTGCTAAACCAAGGTTAAAGGAGTCGAGTAATATCAAGGTCCAGACACCAATCGATTGCATGTCCTAAAAAAGGAAAAAAATCTGCTTTGAGACTCAGTGGGGAAATACATTTAAAACTGATGATAGCTTTAAATAATCAATATTATCACCTCCTGTTGCTCTAATGTTGACCTTCATATGCTTTCCTCAGAGAGTGGAGAGTATGTCTACTTTGAGTGATCAAAACAAATGGGAATGATTTGTCCAGGGAGCTGGAGGCCAGGACAAAATATTCACCAGTTCTCCTGGCTTTTGCCTTCCTCATGGGCAGGAGAGACCAAAATTTACTCTCATTCTTCACCTGAACTCTGGTCCATCCTGGAGGGCCTTGGATTAGCTATATTTTGAGTTAGACAGCTCTTTGCTCAATCAAATAGATGAATTTGAACTTCTAAAGTTAAAAATCAGATATTTGAAGAGTATCTCAGGGGTAAATTGCCCCCTCTCTGTTACCCAAGGTAAGCAGGTAAAATTCAGAAGAGGGAAACTAGAAATTCTACCAGATACTTAGAATGCAGTCCTCTGAAATTATCAGAAGATTGACAGCTAATATCTACCATTACCCAGCTAATATTGATTGTAGGCTGTTTTAACTAGAAAACATCTTTAAAAACTGTCAGTTTAGTTTACTTAAAAAAAACAAAAAAAACAAAAACACTGAGTTTAAGGTCAGATCTAGTTCTCTGACTATAACTCACTCTATGACCTTAGATCAGTCAAGTCTCCTCTCTGGATTCATCTGTAAAGATGATATTCTAGATTGCCTGCCTTAAGGTTCCTTTCTAACTGTGAAGTTTTAGGATTCCTCTAAGATTCTTCAGCTCTGGCATAGGATTTCCTTAGAAGCAAGCACACCACCCCCTAATGGAGACCCATGAAGAGACACCTCAGCCTTTGACCTGGCTCCTAGCAGATTGTACTGGGCTCTGTCAGTGCTGGCAACTCCCTAAGACCTGGCTGGACTGGCAATTTCTCCTAAAACCTTCTCTTAGGATCTGGGATCTTTGGTCTTGTCTTACAGCTCTTCCCAAAGTCTAGCCACCAACAAATAGAAAAAATGAGCAGATGAAGACTAAAAGTTGGTCCGCCCCAACCCCACCTCCTGACTTCTGTGCCTGTGGAAAGCCAGCAGGGTGGGACTGTGTACTTGTGTAGTTGAGTCTCTTTTTGTTTTGTTTTGTTTTGTTTTGCTTTGTTTTTGTTTTTTTGCTAAGTTCCAATGTGAGCACATTAATGGCTCTTACTCAGAATGTGGTTGGTCTGGAAGAACTGAATATTCTTTGGTTCATGTCAGCCAGAATTTTCTTGCAGAGCCACAGGCTTCACGCTTGGGCAGAAGAGGCTAAGAGGATTGCACAATAGAACTGGAAGTCAAGGAAAGGGCCCTGGTGGGGAAGAGATGGGTCTGCTTAAATCTCAGCAGACCTGCCCTTGCCCTGAAACTGACAGCAGGCCAGGTGAGTTAACCACACAGTAGGTGGGAGAGATCTCAAAAGCAGGGCCCCTGGTGACTGCACAGGCTGTGCCCTCCACAATCCCTGGGGCACCATTCTCACAGACTATCACATTGCTTACTAAAGTTCTGTGCAGTACAAAAACTGTACATCTGTATGAGACAGACCCACCAGATGGTCCCAAGAAGAAGAGCAAAGGGTCATTGAGGAGTCTCACTCTCTTCTCTCTCAGTTGCAGACTGTGGAGCCCCAGCAGAACTGAAACATGGGCTGGTCACCTTCTCCACCAGTAATAACCTCACCACATACAAATCTGAGATCAGATACTCCTGCCAGCAGCCCTTCTACAAGATGTTCCACAATATAACAGGTGAGCCCTGCATGCTAAACCAGACCCCTCGCATTCTTTGGGTCTCAAGATTGGGCTGGGGGCTGAAACACCCAGTCAGTTGGACACAGTTTGAGAATAATTGGAAGGAAAAACACTTGGAGACAAGCTTTGCCTCTCCCTGGCTCAGACCTGTACCCCAAGAGTTAGGCTACCTGGTACCCTGATACCTACACAAAACACATTCACAGCCTCCTGCAGAGAAGGACCCCTTAGGGAGATGGGAAGTCCAACTGGTTCTGCCTCTGCTGCAGACTAGCACCAAGAAAATTCTCTAATTTCTCGCTTCAAAAAGGGAGCAGTGATATAGTTCACAGAGCTACTGTAGGACTCAAATAAGATGCTAGACGTGAATGTGATTCATTAAAGAGTTTGTTAAGTGGAGAAGGGAAAGAAGGGCAATGTGCCACAGAGCATCAGGTAAACCGAGGCCTGTGGAATAATGGGAAGTTCCTGCCAGGGGCTGGGCAGGGCCTGGCTGGGAGGAAGCAGCCCTCAGACAGGCAGGAGTAAGATTGCACAGAGCCTTGGACACCATGCTGAAGTATGTGGTGGTTCTTTTCGAAGGCAATGGGGGGAGCTACTGGTGACACTGAGCAAAGGAGGGACATAGAATCTCATTTTAGAAAGAGACTTCAGGTTGCAGAAAGGGAATGGCATCAGAAAGATGACTTGGAAGACGGAATGGCATCAGGAAGATGACTTAGAAGACTTACAATGATCCCCAATAGAAGAATTAAGAACCCAGATCTATTTTCCAAATGCTATGAATCAATCATTTTCTCCTTTTTCTCCAACCTTTCCTCACTCTCCCAGGTATATATACCTGTTCTGCCCAAGGAGTCTGGATGAATGAAGTACTGGGGAGAAACCAACCCACCTGCCTGCCAGGTACCTCACCATCAAGTCCTCTGTTCAAGGTCTCCCATCAAAGGCCTTCGGGCAGCAGGTGTTCTAGCTGTAAATGGAGCATGGAGTGGGAGGCATGATACTTTGATTGTTTTTTAAGAAATGTCTTCAGAGGGTCAAAGGTCAGAGAAGCCCACCTCACACCTTTTCAAACCAACCAATCTCTATATTCACCTGTTCTATCACATTAGGAGCCTTTCTATCTCCTCACTCTACAGTTCTGCTCCCTTTGCACCAGGCTTTTCATCCCACACGGTTTGTGTGTGTCAGGAAAATCAAGAAAGTGGGCACTCTATCCTCAAGCACTCACTGTGCTAGAGAGGAAATGAACAACATCAGACCAATAACTACAGGACAGAGTAAGAAGTTCTTTCAAAGAGCAATATGTGCGAGTCTTACTGACTACTGCATCTCCATGGCTCACCTAATGACTCCACTTTAAAATGAAAACAGATTTTCAGTAACAGGGAGTATCACTGTGCATACAGATTTAGGGAATATTTTGTGGATATTTGTGTGAGCATTAAAAGTGTGGATGATTTGCATTGCAATCACAGTGCATATATATATTCAAATCAACTTATTAGAATATTATATCCCTAAGTGCACACTGTAGGGTTAAACAAATAACCTCGCAAAATTAAATTTATTATTCTCCATACAGAAATTTACACTTTAAAAAAACAAGAATAGCAGTAATTGAAAGATACAATCATTCAAGATAGCATTGAAGAGCAGTACCAATTCTGTCTGTGTGTTTGCTTGAACTGTAGGAGCTTCACAGTATGGTTGAGTGTTGGGTGGCATTTGTATTTTACTGAACTAGAGTGTTGGATAAGCTGAGATAGTGCATTATTTGACTGGTACATTTTAGTAACCCTCAGTATCACTTAGTAGGCTTCTAGATGTTAGATTAGACATTAAAAGGGAAAGGCTATTGAGTCATCTACCATTATCCTTAAGAACTGAAGAAAGTGTCAGTATTTGGGGATTAGTTCTGCCTATCACAGGAACCGTGGGATCTCCGAGAAGGAGCAAGTCATTGGTTGTCGAGGAGTGGAGGGATGAAGACTGGTTAGAAAGACTTCACCTAGAAGGGCCTTATGCCTAAGAAAGAACTCATGAGCAGGTGGAACAGAGGAAAGGTCAACCACCCACATTCTGCTGATCACCATCATCTCATTTAGGCTTAGCCAGGATAACACTCAAGGGCACAGCTGGCAAAGGCTCGGAAAAGATGGAGAATGGTAGAGTAGTGATAAACTGGAAGGTCAAATCCTCATTTTTCTAAAATACTATGTGGGCCAAAGAAAACAACACTGCAGGTGGATTCCATCCTGGGCAGCCATATTGCAACCTCTAGAAGGGGAAGAGGCACTGAACTGGAAGTCAGGGGACTAGGTCTTCATCCTTATGTTGTCATTTCCTAATTGTGGTCTTTGGTAAGTAATATCACCTCTCTGGGACTAGGAATCCATACCTCAGGAGTAAGGAAGCAGAACCATGTGATCCATGACATTCTATAATTTTTAATGGTCATCATCGTCTATATTTATACAAAGCAACTTGGATACAATAAGTCATGAAATTATTTTAACAGCCATATTGGGTAGAATGATGGTTTATCATTGGACCAGGCCAGAGATTTCAAAATTATATCCTTCTAAAATATTGAGATTGAAACCCAGAAGCAAGCCAGAATGGAGAAAGCCATTTCATTGAGCATCATAATATCTGCCTTTCCAAGGAAACTGTTAAGCAACTATTATTTGCCCCTTATTTTATTTGAGAAAACTAAGGATCAATGAGGTATAACAGTTTGTCCAAGGCTACCCACAGAAAGTTGGGCACAGAGCTCGAAGGTGAATCAAAGACTATGATGTTAACAGAAGCAATGCTGAGCCATTCTTGATTCTGATTATATTTTAAGCCATTGTCATAAACCCAGAGTTCTAGAATATCACATTTTTGTTTTAAGAGCCCTCCCTCAGTACCTCCAGTCATCTAGAGCCCAAGTCTGACTTCAGCACAGCTGAAGCTACAGTATTTCAAGAATATTCCTTTGTCCCAAGAAAAACTAAATATAAAATGGTATCCACCAAAAAAAAAAATGCCCCATTTCCATGAATCTTCTTAACAGCTTGTTGCATTATTCAACTTATTGGAAGGACAATAGCATAGCAAGAAGATAAATTTTAGTGGAGAAAGTTACACTAGAGTCAGAAGATATGAGCTCTACTTCTGGCTCTGCCACTAATGACTTTGAGTATGTCGCTTGCCTTCTCTGAGCCTCATTTTCTCCATCCATAAATTAGCTGTTCTCCAAGATTCCCCAACTCTGACATTCTGTGTGCTGGGGTATGCCACTGGCACCTTGGTCAGAAAAAGGCACCATTCGGCACTGGCTTTGTTGTGACCATGGACTAAGCCACAGGCACATCCCTCACCAGATGAGGGCCTTTCAGCACTAGATAAGTTGTGCAGGGCTAATCATAAGTTTGCCTTGAGATGTCACCTTGTAGGCTACTGCTTAGAATTGGGAGTCTGGTCTTTAACTCTGACAGGCCAGACCACAGAGAGTTAGCAAAGGTCATCTCACATCTGGCCATGATGAATGACAGGGTGCCTCAGGCTCATGTAAGGAAGCATTTGGCATCAAGAAGAAGAGCATCTGAAAGGCATTAGTTTGCTGAAAGCCTAATGTTTGCCAAGAAAACTCAAATGATCTTTTCTCTTTAAAGGATTGTTGATAGTTTTCAGGGCCAAGGAGAGTAGCCTGGCCATTTGCAACCAAGAGGAGGCCCACGCTCATAACCAGGCTTTCCTCCCAGGCCTGAAAAGTAGGCTGGGAAGAGCCCATGTGAACTTTCTCTTAGCCAGTGGGGGGGCTGATACTGAAGACCCTCTGCTCATGAGCCAAAGGTGTTTGGCTGCAGGAGGCTGGTGGTGCATGTGCATGCTCAGGGTACAACTCAGTGGAATGAAGTTTGATCAGACCTTTCTTCTTCCCCTGAAGGTACTACAGGGTTCCTGGGTGCAATGATGGGTGGCTCAGAGCAGGGCCCATGCATCATTGCTTGTAGATTATGCCACCTTTCCCTAACCTTAGATGCCTTAGGTGTTCATTCATAACATGAGTTCTTTATGCTAGAGAAGAAAAGGTTAGAGAGCCCATGACCACAACCTTTACATGTAATGAGGCATTGTGGGATGCAAGATGGGACATTGATCTTAGAATCTAGTTAAGTCCCTGATACTTACCTTAATAGCCATGCGACCTTGGGCAGGTCACTTAATCTCTGGAGTTTTACTTATATATAAAATGACCAGAGCAAATGAAATAAAAATCTAAGGAATTTGGAATTTGAAGAATCCTTGGAGATCATCTTGATCAACTGCCCCATTTAGCAGATCAAAAATCAAAATCCAGAGAGGGAAATTTATTTACCCAGAGTCACACAGAACATAAGAGAGAAAAGCCAGGTCAAGGCCTCAGGTATGTTGGCTCCCAGTCCACTGTTTGCTGTAACCTGCTAGGCAGTCTTTAATTCCTTCCATCTCTCAAAGCCCATGACCTATGGTTTTCAAAAGTTTTCTAAGTACCCACAATTTGGACTACTTCTGGGATATGAGATGCCTTTCTAGAGAAAAACGGGGAAAGGTGATCACGGTTAAAGACAGGCCAGGCTCGACATGGTCTAGGCCAAAAGTGATCCTGGCTAGAAATGGTTCAAGGTGGTGAAGATCCATACATGAAATGGCCTGGTTCATAAATGGACCTGGCTAAAGAAGGCCAGACTAGAAAGACTTAGGCCAAAAATGACCCACACAGAGCTCTCCCAGGCTCGTGTGGACCTGTGATGTAGCGTAGGGTCCCGAAGTGGCATAATCTACAGTGGGTGAGATGTGTATTTCTCTTAGTGGCTCTTCTCACATGGCTGACCTGACCAGTCTCTGTCTCTTGTCCCCACTCCCTCCTTCTCCTTACAGTGTGTGGTCAGCCCTCCCGCTCTCTGCCAAACCTGGTCAAGCGAATCATCGGGGGCCGAAATGCTGAGCCCGGCCTCTTCCCATGGCAGGCCCTGATAGTGGTGGAGGACACCTCCAGGGTGCCAAACGACAAGTGGTTTGGGAGCGGGGCCCTGCTTTCTGAGTCCTGGATCCTCACAGCAGCCCACGTGCTCCGCTCCCAGCGCAGAGACAACACAGTGACGCCGGTCTCCAAGGAGCATATCACTGTCTACCTGGGCCTGCACGACATACGGGACAAATCAGGAGCAGCCAACAGCTCAGCTGCCCAAGTGGTGCTCCATCCAGACTTCAACATCCAGAACTACAACCACGACATAGCTCTGGTACAGCTACAGGAGCCTGTGCCACTGGGACCCCATGTCATGCCCATCTGCCTGCCAAGGCCCGAGCCTGAAGGCCCAGCACCGCACATGCTGGGCCTGGTGGCTGGCTGGGGCATCTCCAATCCTAATGTGACGGTGGATGAGATCATCAGCAGTGGCACACGGACGTTGTCAGATGTCCTACAGTATGTCAAGTTACCCGTGGTGCCACACGCCGAGTGCAAAACCAGCTACGAGTCCCGCCTGGGCAACTATAGCGTCACAGAGAACATGTTCTGTGCTGGCTACTATGAGGGTGGCAAGGACACATGCCTTGGAGATAGTGGTGGGGCCTTTGTCATCCTTGATGACTCAAGCCAGAGCTGGGTGGCCCAAGGCCTGGTGTCTTGGGGGGGCCCTGAAGAATGTGGCAGCAAGCAGGTCTATGGAGTCTACACAAAGGTCTCCAACTATGTGGACTGGGTGTGGGAGCAGATGGGCTCCCCACAAGGCCTGGGGGAGCTCCAGGTAGAGCGATGAGCTGGCTGGCCTCCTGAGGGCCTGCCTGCCCTGCCCCAGCTGAATTAGGCTGACCACACACTTCTGACGGCACACTCCATGTTATTCACCAGACTAATGGAATGGAACATGCTGCTCCCATCCTCCTGAGACAGCCAAGGACTGTGAGAGACAGCAGTGTGGCACAGGAAAAAGTCTCCACACAAGAGACCTGAGTCCATGGCCCCGGGACAGTCCCTCCCCATCTCCAGGCCTCACTGTCTTCAGCAACACAAGGGAGTCTGGATGCCCAGGCCAGTCCTAGCACTCCTCTCCAGGACCACTTTGCCCCACTGACATTATTCACTCCTATTCACTTATCAACCCCACTATTGGTGTCACCGGGCCTGATTTTTAGAAAACGTTTCCTTACATTGAGTTGAAATCTGAGTTTATATATTTTCCCAACTCTGTCCTTCTTGGCACAGACAAGTCTAGTCCCTCCTCTAGGAGAAAACCACTCAGGTTTGGGGAGATAGGGGTCATACCTCAAAAGCCCCTCCGTCCTCATGTAAGCCCTGCAGCACTCTTATCCCTCGGGTCTCTCTCCCAAAATCTTTTTGCAATCCAAGCCTTAACCCTTATGTTGCCTGTTCAAGGGATTTCAAAGGACAAGGAGAAAACTGGGAAGGTTTGGGTGACTGGGGGTGGGGGGTGGGAGAGTAGCAGTGGGAGGCTCCCCAACCCTGTTAAATTCATATTGTCAACTCAGAGACACGTCATTTGGGCCCATACATCACTCTCAAATACCAGCTGACAGCCCGGTGAGACCACACCTGCCATTCCAGACAAGCATGAAGCAACCTTCTAGCCTTGAAATATGTCATCTGAAAAGACTGCCTGAGCCCCAGCCCCAGGCATAAAGACTCATCTGGATCATTTGGAAAAAGAGAAGGCCCACATTGTGCCCTGCTGTGCTTCTGGGCAGGAAAATGGAAAAAAAGTTGGGCCCAGAATGTTTGGAGTGACCTGCTCCCACCAGGCTGCCCAGGGTACCCACAGTCTGAGCTCTTCAGAGAATTCACCCAGCATGGATGTTCAGAGGGATGAACTCCTCCAGCTTCCAGGGAAGCAGAGACTTGCCCGCGAAAGGCTGGTGAGAAGAGACAGAGCCAGGAGTCTTGGGCTCTAGCCCCAACTCTGCCCGCAAGTGGCAGTATAACCTTTGACTAATCACTTTCCCTCTCTGGGCTTCAGTTTCCCCATCCGTAAAAGGAAGGTACTAGATCCCTCTCAGGGTCCTTCCAGCTCCAACACTCCAACTGCCAGCAGCCTGTCCCTGGCGCTCATGGTGCTGATGGTCCTCCTTCTCCCGGAGCTTGCTCTCCTGGGATTCTCCATCCATGAAAAACAGCCACAGAAGCCCCTGAGAAGGGAGTCCAAGAGAATAATTGGGAAGTGTCCACTTTTCTAATCGGTTCATGAAACTACACTCCTATGTCTATGAACGGTGCATGTAGAGAATGCTGTACATTGTATATTTTATATCACATGCTTCACTACTCTGTAAGGTGCCTCTGCACTCTGTTTCTCCTGTCAGGGGTCTAAAGTGGAAATAAACCCTCTGTGGATAATCAACAGACTTCATCTGAGGATTTGGTTATTGTTGATGTTTGTTTTGTTTCGACTCTTTAAAGAGAAACTGCCCCACCATCCCTATTAAGCCAAAACTTCTCCCATCACAGAAAAAGTAGTTTTTGTCATGTAGACATCATCTAAGAAGGAGCGATGGGGAATGGGGTTGGTTATTGACATGTGCCCTCTCAGAGGCCCATATTCCTTCATTGCATTGCACTGCCTGCTATTCAAGTCCTTGCCTTCAAAGAGCTCAAACTAGCATGCAAGGCAAGATTCTGTGCACCTAGGTGTCACACAGACAAAAGGAGATAAATGTCATCAGAGGAATGGAGACTGCAGTATTATGGGAACTTAAAAAAGCAAGAAATCCATACAGCTGAAGGGGATCTGGAGAGCTTTGCAGAAAGTTTGCACTGGGAGATGGAGGGGAGAAGCAGAGTGGACAAAGATCAAGCAGGAAAGCATGCGGTGAGTGGAGCGGGAGCAATGAATTAAGGGAGAGCGGAAAGAATCTTAAGAGCCGTACTGTCTGCACTCTGTCCTGTACGTCGTGCTTGTCTAATTTGGGGTATATCAGAATTACCTGGTATTCTTGCTAGAAATACAGATTCTTTGGTCTCATGCCTAGGAAATTCTGAATCGGCAGGTCTGAGGATGCGGAGCATGGTGTGGAAAGTGGGGTTAGGGGCGGAGAGGGGACTGGGTGAGAGACAGCAGCTGAGAAGCTACTGTAATGATTCAAGAGAGATGGCAAAAACCCACCAGACCTAGGCTATGACAGTGCAGATGTCGGAGGAGGGGGAGAGTAAAAACATTTAAGCAGTGTATTCAGCAGGGCTTGGTGCAGGTGCAGGCTGTGGGGGTGTACAGACTAACCTGTTAGTGAGGGCTCTCCATGGGATACGTTCTTGCTGTGCCTTTGTTTGGAGACTGCATCGTAATGAAAATGTCATGCTTTTTACACTACTGAGAACTAAAAGAATCCTAAATTATGTTTTATGCTTTATACGTAACTGCTTTCGAGAGTTATCATGTATCGTGTTGTATTATATTTTGGATTTTTACTTTCCTTTAGATATTCAGACTGTATGTTGTGACATATCGAGACACTGAGGTGTCATGAGGTTATATGGAGAGAGCAGACTGTGACATAGAATGGAGGAGACACATTACTCTCTGCTTCTCCTGGTGACTTTTTACTGATTTAGTGGCTTATTGAATATGGGGTTTCAGGAAAGGGAGGCAACAAGAGTGAGGCCCATGCAGACATTTATAGACATCTGTAATAACAAAGGGGAGAGGGCTGGTGTGGGGTGGAGACCAGGGCTTAGTTTTCCTGTGCTCAAAGAGTCTATGTGCAGTCCAGCTGGAGAAGTAAGGAAGGCATATCTCAGAGGAGAAGGCAGATTAGAGACACTGATGTGAAATCTATCAGGGTATAGGTGGTGTGGTAGCATGGGGGAGATTGTATTATCTACTGAATATATGCAAGAAAAATAAAGGGGGGTTGGGGGTGAGGACCAAACAAGGGAGACACCAGCATGGGAGGCACAGAGAGAAGAGAATGAAGAGACAAAAACAGAGATCAAAAACATAGGAAGAGAAGTCCTTCAGAAGTCAAGGAGGGAAAGTGTCAAGAGGGATGAAAAGTAGTCAACAGTTCCACAGGCTAGTCCGGAGGAACGCCTCCAGGCTGAGTGTTCCCCAGGGACAGGGACCCCGTCATCACTGCCACCTGAGAAAGGAGCCAGGGAACAGACCAGGTGCTGGTGTTTAAGGTCCCTAACCCTCCCTCTCTCTTCTTCCTCTTCCTCCTCTCTCTCCCTTTCTCTATGTCTCCCTTCCTCCCTCCCTTTTCCTTCCTTCTCTACCTCCCTCTCCAGTCTTCTCTTAAGTTTGTATCTTTTTTCCTAAGGCAGGAAACTGCCTTTACATCCTTCTTCTTTATGGCTTAGAGTAAAAGGTATATGCTCAATTCTCCAGGTTTTGGCTCCTTGAAGCCTACAAGTCTTTTGCCACAACCCTTTCAAATGCAAGTTTGTATTGCTAGACTTTGGTTTGTGCTTTGCTCTTTCAAAAGTCAAAGCTGTATCTGGCCTCACCTAAAACAATAATGCTCCAGTTTCAATAGCGAGGAGTCACAGGGCAAGGAGACTTCCTAGGGATGAAGAATACATGAGATTAAATTTCAAATAGTATCTATCTATACATGTATATATCACTCTTAAACTTCCATTTATTGGCCCAGGGCCATTCTGTCTCCATCTCTGGTTGTGGATCTATTAAATTTTCAAGTGGCCTCTTTACTTCCAAGTGTATACAGAGCTTTGTGCTTCCAATTCTGCCTCCAAAGGCAAAGGAAGGATGTGGAGACTGAGTGTCGACTCTTCTTTCTAGAAGCTCGACTGTGGAAGTGAAGAGAAAGAGAGACTTTGAAATAAACAGGAAACAAGGGAAGTAGAAGTTTGATTTTAGGATGAGAAGCCCTGACCATATTTTAGAGGCATAAACAAAGGAGAGATGCAAAATATAGGAAAGGGGTAAGAATCCCCAAAGCCAGGTCCCCAAGAGTTTGGAAGCGAGGAGATCCAAAGCCCAAAATTAATTCTGAAGAGAAGAAAGTGTACAGAGGAAGCAGATGGAGAGGGGGATCTTTGGGGGAGATCATACCCGGTGAGCTCTGAGTATCTTCTGGAAATGGGGACAGGAGGTTAGCTTGGAGCAGCTGGCTGAGAGCAGGTAGAATTGATGATGCTGGGAGATGCTGAAGAGGCAAACAAGGCTGCAGAACATTCATCTCAGATTTTCCCAGCCCTACTCAGCAGCCTGGTGACAGGTACTGAGAGAAGAGGGCAGATGGCTGCCTGGATCCAGGACTTAAGGTATGAGGGCTCAGGGAAGTCATGTAGTGCTGGCCAGAGTGGAGAAAGCCCAGAGCTAGAAGTCAGGGGACATAGAAGTAAAGTCTTGCCACTAACTTATCAGATAACTTTTGGCAAGTTAATTTGTTTCTCTAGGCCTCAGTTTCTTTAGCTGCGTGGTGAAAGGGATAGACTAGGTGGCCTCCAAGGGCTGTTCAGCTGTAAAGTTTGTGTGTGTCGTTGTCAGTGAATCCAGGTCAGTGAAAACAGGGTATGGAGCAGGCAGACCCTGCTGAGAAACGGGAGTGGGGTTTCCTCAAAGGTCCCGAGGCAGGGCTTCGCCAAGGAGGAGAGATCTCTGTGGACAGAGCATGAAATTTCTTTATTAGTCAGGTCTCTTTCATTTTAAGTGACAGAAACACTACATAGACACCTTCGGGGAGAGAACAAGAGAGCGAGAGCGAGAAAGAGCCAGAGAGAGGGGAGAGAGAGAGAGAGAGAATTATAGGCTCATATAGCTAAAAAGTCTGTGGAGAGAGAGAGAGAGAGAGAGAGAGAGAGAATTGTAGGCTCATATAGCTAAAAAGTCTGTATCGAAAAGCTTCAGGTATGGTTAGATCAAGGAGCTCGAATACCAGAATACAAGCTCTCTCTTGCTTCACTCATCTTTTAGCTCCACTTTTCTCCGTTAGCATCATTCTCAGCAGACTCTCCATGAAGTAATTGCTGGCAGATCTGGGCTCCTAGCCAGCAGCTTAGCAACCCAGCAGAGAAAGGCCTTCTCTTTCTCTAATGTGCTCAGCAAAACTCTCAAGTCAGGTTTTCATTGGCCTGGCCTGATTTACTTTCCCATGTCTGAACAACTTCTGTGACCAGAGGATGAAGCACTTTAATTAGTCAGATCTGGGTCACATTTCTACCCCTAGAACCAGAGGTAAAGTCATTTCAACCCAGGATATATGGACTGAGAATGGAAGAAGAGTAGCTCCCAGAGGAAAATTGGGGTGCTATCACTGAAAGGGGCAATGAATGCTGGACGGTCAAAAAATAACAGAGGTCCCTAACAAAGGGTGATGAACTGGTAGTTCTGGCAAAGGGCAAAATGGAGCCCAATGTGTGATCTGTCCCTCCCTTCCCTGGCTGCAGTGTGTGGGCTCCCCAAGTTCTCCCGGAAGCTGATGGCCAGGATCTTCAATGGACGCCCGGCCCAGAAGGGTACCACACCCTGGATTGCCATGTTGTCACACCTGAGTGGGCAGCCCTTCTGTGGGGGTTCCCTTCTAGGTAAGGAGATGGTGGAAGGGATGGGGGGCCCAGGGTTAAGGGCTATGGTGGAAATGAAGGGACCTGACCCTCTTTCTGTAGACTAATCAAGATTTCTCCACTGAGAATCACTGTCCACACTAGCAGCAGGGCTCAGAAATACAGTGTGGTAGAAAGAGTCCTTAGCTGGACCCAGGAGACATATGTTCCTATTCTAGCTGGCTCCTGTAGTCAACAAACACCTTCTGAGTCCTGGTCAGTTTCTGTCCCTGGGAAGAGGCAGATAGGCAGCCCCTCAAACATATCCCAGGGTGTATGAACTGCAGCCCCATCCAGGCCTGGTGCCTCCCCTTGGAGGCACTTACGTGTAGCTCAAGGGCAGGGTGTACTGGAACTGTGGGATCAGGTCGAATCAGGAAACTCACCCTGATGAAGTCAGGGGAGCGGGGATTTACAAAGGCCTTGAATGACCTGATTAGGAAGTTAGATTTTATCCTGAACACTGCTGGTTGATAAGCATGTTCTGGAAAAGTTCTCTCCAGGGGCAATGTGGATTGAAAGCAGGGTAGATCTGGAGACCAGAGGTTCAGGGAGGTGGCTATTGCAATAGTGGAGAGAGAAGTCATTAGCTTCAGAATAAGGACAAGAGATGAAGGATGGAAATGAGGCAGCTTCCAAAGTATTAAGAAATAGGAATTTCAGAGTTTTGTAATGGATTGAATGTGGTGGGAGTAGGAGCAAGAGCAGGAAAAGAATGGCTGACAGATCTTCCTGCCACAGTTTGATTTAAACAATCTAAAGTCCATTTCAGCTCTGACATCATAAAAGAAAAAAAATTAATAGCACTCTAGAGTCCCCCGCCAGTTCCTGATTTGA